CTTCGGTTTTGGTTTGTGACCCAGCTTTGTGTTTGCTTAACCGATTTATGACTATTGAACCGGTATACTACTGTTGCATTATCTAAAGATGTTGAAATCTCATAAATCCATATTGAATACAAATAAATGTAAAAAACACAAACACAGTGTGACTTCCAAGTACTCCAACAGCAGGAGTGAGACCGGGAGGACAGAAATTATGCTTTCAAACATACTACATACAAACCCCTCATAGAGTTGTTGCGATGGTTTTACTCTCCAGAGTGCAAGGCGCTTTAATATACAAATAATTCTAGATTTTACTTTCCTGGAACGATATTAAGGATTTAGAAATGGCTCATATACTTATCTCATTTTTTTAGATCCCAAAAAGCAATTAAGCACTTCTAATTAACTTCATATGTATGTGAATGTGCGCGAAATACGTTAGGGGTTAGGGTATAAAGCAAATTCTAGAGAAATAACACAAGAGTGCACACGCTGAAATGTCTCGCATTCTTTATTGATCATTGATTTTATGTTGATAGTCCTAAATATAAAGTTCTACTACAAGTATCACATAAACTTAACATAATCAAAAAGAAAATGAGGCCAAGGTCAGATAAACCAAACCAGGAATACTTGTACACCTTACAATCATTCCATATACAAACTATAGTTGGCCTATTGCTTATAGTATACAAGAAATAGACCAAACCATGAGAACTTTATATTGACCAATGAACCATGAAAATGAGGTCAAGGTCAGATGAATACTGCCAGACAGACATATACACCTTACAATCATTCCATACACCAAATATAGTTAACATATTGATTATAGTTTTAAGAAGAACAGACCAAAACACAAAAACTTAACATTGAGCAATGATCCGTAAAAATGAAGTCAAGGTCCAATAAAACCTGCCAGAATGACATATACACCGTAAAATATTTCCATACACCAAATATAGTTGACCTATTGCATACAGCATTAGAAAGAACAGACCAAAACACAAAAACTTGACTTTAACCACTGAACCATGAAAATGTGATTAAAGCCCGATGACACCTGCCAGTTGGACATGTACACCTTACAATCATTCCATACAACAAATATAGTAAACCTATTGCTTATAGTATCTGAGATATGGACTTCACCACAAAATCTTAACCTTGTTCACTGATCCATGAATTGAGGTCGAGGTCAAGTGGAGACTTTGATTCTACGGTCCAATCCTCTCAAATTAATTCTTTGCAGGGTAGAACTGCCAATTATAAGTTTGTTCTTTATTCCATTTTCATCTGTACCTTTTAGAAGTTCGGACTGATTGACTTGGTACTGATTTTTGTTGCTGTTGAGGACTTTTGATTTTTTTAACATTTAGTGCTTCCTCAATTTTGTGCTCAGTTTGTACTGATATTTCATGCCTACTCATCATTATTGTGTCTTCGTTAGGCCTCTCTATTTCTGTTTGAGATGCAGAGTCTGTCATTTCATTTGAGCACTGAATATGGTTATCAATAAGAGTTGGGGTGTTATTCGCTTTCTCCATAAGAGTCGACACCAGTTCTTTTAATTGATCTATTTCCGATCTTAACATTAGTTCCAGAGAATGCTTAACACAGGGTGTTGAAGTCAGTAGAAAAGCAGCACTAGGATTCAATTTGATGTTCTTTACTTCAGTTTCATTAAATGAACTTGTAGCTGACACCATATCTGAGTGTTCACTTATGTCAAACTCGAAATGTTTCATTTCTGTTTGGGAACTTTCCAATTTGAGCTCTTGAGCATTATTGTCTTTTGGTTGAGATGCAGCTTCTAACATCTCAGTGTTTTCATTAACATTTTCAATCAACATTTTTGCAATGTTGTTAAAATAAGTGTCAATCCACTGTTTGCAACCTTTTCCTTGGACATGAAAAGTACATGTTTGTTTGTATATATAAAGAACTGTCTTCTGTCCATTTATAAAGGTGTTAAATACAAGACCATTATTTACCCTGTCTTCAAAAAGTGTTTGGTCAAAACTTGTAAATAGAATATTTTGGAAATATTGAAGATTGCAGGAGCTTTAAATGTAATGACATATGAGCATGATCTGTCTGTACAATCTTTAAAGTCATAGTACTCACAATCTTTTGTGTATTCATTAACTTCCTCCAGATTAAATCCACTAAAATCTCCAATAAATGATGAAATGTTTTGAAAAAATGATGTAGTTATATCCATGTTTACTTAATGTTGTTATTTAAATCATGATTTGTTTCTTAATATCTATAGTAAAAACACTTGTATTGGAGCTCTAAAAAACACATCTGTTCACCTTTCTGTTATATGTCCATTCAAATGTAAAACACTCAAACAAAGAAAAATGTTTACAAACGTAATTTCATGTCGAATAAAAAGTTATTCATAACATCCCAATGGTAAAACTTTCAAACATTAGTTGTTTATAAACAAAAAAAATATTACTTTTTTCTCAGGCGTGCATGAATATACAGTCAAATGTTTTGTTATATTTTGCTCTAATTGTAGATGACTGTTTCATTGGTTTATTTTGGTATTTACAAAATTACGTAGAAAGGCTAATATGAACAGCATTACCGGTAGATGATTTATAAAAACTCAATGAACTCAAGGTTCATCAGATGGAATTGACAAACATAACTGTATTAACATCCTAAAATTTACTCTCATTGAAGACAAACCTGCACACCTTGAAAATATTTTATAACCAGAAAAGCGCTTCGCACGCATGAAAAGTCTAGTTTTTTTTTTTAAGGCATTAAAGGAATAGGTAAATGACATTTAAATACATTTCTGTTTTCACAAAATCCAAATTTGTCTTTGAATGTGGGAGACCTTTCTCGTTTCCACAGAATGTGCCAAATCATACATAGTGGGGGAAAATGTTTCAAACGTTTCCCTCATGTTAAAGTTGTAGTAAATTGTATTGACTGACATGGCAATAGCGGTACAGTAGATCAGAAGCATATACTTAGTCAGCCGTAATCGGTTGAGCTAAGAAAATATGTCCTAAGTTCAGTCGGTTGAACCGCTTACATCTTACACCCTGGGTCCCCGAGATCTATATACTGGACGTTTCAATGAGATTTTCTAGTAAGAATCATGCTATCCGGTTAGAATATTGCTGTACTCGCATGTGTTTTACGATTTGAAACTTAAGGAAGACGATAAAAGATTTAAAATTCTGAGTGTGTTGTCAAAAGTAAATCAACACATAAGATAAGCTAAGAAAATTTTATTTTAAAGAGAAGAATCCACTATAAAAGAGAGACGAAAGATAACTAGGACACCTTTAAACTCGTAAGTCGAAAATAAACTGATAACGTCATGGCAAAACAAGACAAAACAACAAAAGACAAACAACAGCATTCAAAACACAACATAGAAAACTAAACACTGAGCAACACGAACCTTACAAAAAACTGGTGGTGATCTCAGCTGCTCCGGAAGGGTAGGCAGATCCTTCTCAACATGTGGCACCCATCGTGTTGCTCATGTAAGAACAAAACGGTGATAAATCTAATTTGGTAGGTCGCATTTTGGGAAGAGGAGGACGTTGTTGTGATAACGACGATTGGAACACATCTATCATCATCTGTAAAGCAGATATTCCTTAATGGTTTACTAACTCGTGATGGCGTCCGTTCACATTTTCGAAGGGAAGACTCCAACTCCACCACTTGGAACTCTTGGTTAAATAGCTTCCTTGTGGAAAGCAACACCCCTATCAAGGAAATCATGATAGGTAACGTGAGCTCTGAAATATCGTATCAACTGGGATATACTTACTCAAGCAATTTCATTTGATATTTTATAGTGTGTCTTTTTATGTTGTAATGTTACACTACCATCTCCGGTTATGGTGAAGGTTGGCGCCTGTTAAAACGTGTAAACCCGCTGAATTTGTATGCACCTGTCCTAATTCAGGAGCCTGTTGTTTAGGGGTTGTTGTTTGTTGATGTGTTTCATAAGTGCTTCTCAGTTCTCGTTAATCCAGTAGCGTAAAAATCAAAATTAAGAGAACTTCTAGGAAAAACACATTTGAAATTGAGGTTTTAAAACAGCTTCAATAACGGATATGTAAGTATTAGTTTTGTGCACTAATTTTGTTTTTTATTTTTGATATCAGAAAAATACATTTCCTGGGCTTTTGTATTCCTAACTCGTATCATATTATTATTTTGATTAAATTAATGTTTAAGAAAAAGATTGTATAATACATGTATACCTTATTTACTTTAAACATATTTTTTTAGTACAATTATGAAAAAGAAGATGTGGTATGATTGCCAATTAGACAACTCTCCACAAGAGATCAAATGACACAGAAATTGACAACTATAGGTCACCGTACGGCCTTAAACAAAGAGCAAAGCCCATACCACATAGTCAGCTATAAAAGGCCCCGAAATGACAAATGTAAAACAATTTAAACGAGCAAACTAACGGCCTAATTTATGTACAAAATAATGAACGAAAAACAAATATGTTACACAGCAACAAACGACAACCACTGAATTAAAGGCTCCTGACTTGGGACAGGCACATACAGAATGTGGCGGGGTTAAACATGTTAGCGGGCGCCCAACCCTCCCCTTAACCTGGGACAGTGGTGTAACAGTACAATATAGAAACAAACTATAAAAATCAGTTGAAAAAGGCTTAACTCATCAGATGAATACAAATAGAAATACATCTAACAAAAACACAGAGTGGACGTGACCGGGTACTTGTACATCCCAACAGCAAAAAGACACTAAGTACAGATCTGAGAGTACTCGCAGCTACTGACAGCTAGTTCAAAGCCAATAACAATTAATAAAACAAATCATGCATCTAAGACTAAATTATCAATCAGTACACATCCAACATCCAATGGATTTAGTGTAAAGACGTCATAAACAGTCAGAGAAAAACATGACCTTGTGCAATGCCAAGATACAGGTATCGACAGATTATAGAGCCATGAATATGCATATATATATAACAATAATATTTATTTTGCTTTTAATTTACTGATAACAAAATCAATATTAATACCAATAAAAAAAATATTCAAAGATCTAATTACAGTGTTGAATCGGTGACCTTTTAGAATAAGTTTATTTAAAGGATCGATAAGTTTACCAGGATCGTTTCTAAATTTCCGGGCACGGTAAACAACATCTCCGAAAAAATGAGGGTGTTTTATCCCGTTTGGAAATTTTTTTTTACAGGAACAACCAAACTTCAAAACCAAATCTTTATATCTATGGAAGAATTAAGTAATGGTTTTCAGTAATTTGTGGTAACGAAATCCCTGACTTAATAATTTAACCAATACATAGATTACGTTCATTAAAATCTAAAACGTCACAACAGACACGGCCATAGCGAACGAGTTGTGATATATATTAACACCGTAAGATGGCGCCAAAGGAACATCACCATCCAAAAAAAGAAAATTAACAATAGGGAACGAAAATTCGTCCCTTTTGTCGTAACTTTTAGTGTGTAGTTTCCCGTGTAAAAATGAAATATCTAAATCTAGGAAAGGACAGTTATTACCGTTTATATTTGATTTATTTAAAGTAAGTTCTTTTGGGTAAATTTCGGCAGTATATTTAGAAAATTCTTGATTATTTAACGAAAAAATATCATCAAGATAACGGTAAGTGTTGTTGAATTTATCAATTAAATGCAATTTAGACGGGTCTTTACTGAGTTTGGTCATAAACTGTGATTCACAACAGTACTAGAACAAGTCTGCTATTAAATGGGCACAATAAGTGCCCATTGGAATACCCTCAACCTATCGATAAACTGTGTTGCCGAAACGTACATAAATATTATCAAGGAGAAAATTTGCAGCTTCAATCATCTCATCAAACCACAGTAAGTATATCTAGCATATTTACCTTTTTCATTACAGAAGAAGGCTTTAAATGAATTGCAGCAAATATATTTGCATTCAGATTTACCAAACAACCATTTAATTAAATAGTAAAACTTGTGTTTGATAAGATTGTGTGGATGTGTAGGGTAAAGAGTTGAAAAGTCAAAACTGTCAACAAAATCAAAAGGACCATCAAAAGCACGTGATTTATTTAAAACATTTAAAGAATTTTTACACTCCAAAAACAGTTAATTTCACTATTTTCATATATTTTATTACAAAAGTTAATGATAATTCTTTGATAGTAGTTAAGGAACTAGTTAAAAGCACTGTAAGATTAGTTGTAGAACACTTACTAGAGGCCGAGATGAAAAGATATTTTACTGGTCTTTTGTGTAGTTTAGGTAACCAATACATAGTAGGGACCTTAAAATGTTCAGAAGAAGCCTTAAGCTGTGATGTGGTTATGATATGTTTGTTTACTACATGAAGAAATTGTTGAAAAGTTATATTTTCATTTCTTGTATGATTGATTTTCCATATCCAAAGGTCACTTGTACATCAAATATCACACCTGGATGATCAATTGTTTATTAACCCTGCTAGTAGAGGGGCAAAAGATACCAAAGGGACATTCAAACTCATAAATCGAAAATAAACTGACAACGCCATAGCTAAAAAAGGAAAAGTACACAAAACCCAACATAGAAAACTAAAGACTGAGCAACATGAACCCCACCAAAAACTGGGGGTGATCGAAGGTGTCTGGAAGGGTCAGCAGATCCTGCTCCACATGTGGCACCCGTCGTGTTGCTCATGTTAGTACAAACTCGGTAATGAGTCTAATTCGATAGTTCATATTCCGGAAAAGGGGGCGAGATTGTAGTTAGAGGGTTTACAGAATTATCAATCTTATTCGGACAATAAATAAGATGAGTCAAAAAGGACTACAATAAACATTCAGTTGCACCATTTCCAAGTTTAAAATCGTAAGTATTCTCCATGAAAAAAACGTAAAATTATCCTCATTTCTATCATCGTGCTCTTTACATTATGATATATATTTTTCAATTCAGTTTCAGGACTCTAAAATGTTGTCTTTGTTTTCCATTTTTGACATTCATTCCTTCCATAGTCTGTTTTTTTTTTTTTTTTTTTGCTTTCGGTGAATTGCTTCCGAAATGCAATCGACTATCTTCTTTTCGTTTTCCAGAACATTGTGTTGGACCAAGGAATTTAACTTATTGTATTCTTCTTCGGAATAATTTAATCTCATTGTGTGATAATTGGAATTTATATCAAAATCATGTTTGCCATCACCTAAAACAAAACAATGTTTGTAATTAGATAAGATTTTATTTCAAATAAAACAAGGTGCATGTAATATTTACTGTTATTGCACTTATTACACCTTACACCTCACGATCGACGTGCGATACTGTCAAGCAACGTACTATTCTAGCAGTGTATCAATGAATGTCCGTGATATTGACGCAACATTAAAAGAAAAACAGACTGAGACAACATGAAAAAGTAATTGTTGAATGAAATGATACTGAAACAAACTGAATACGTTTCGATATAAGCTAACGCAAACACAATGTACAGTAAAAAGGCAAAATTAAAAAAAAAAAAACATCATTCGGAAAAACTATTGTTAGCATGGTTATATCCAAGAACATCACGTTAAATATAAGGAGCAGCCTGATATTCAACAGTGAAAATGATATTGTATACCCTTCTCACATTCAAACATATATAATCTTCTACAGTATATATAGTTAAAATAAAATGTAGGTTGACTGGTTTTCCATGCAGATGTTTAAGATAGATTGATTCGTGAAAAACGACAAACCGTATGGAAGAAATTAAGCACTTGTTAAAGTCAACTCTTATAAAACATTATTTTGTCACAAATAAGTCAACGATCATTTCAGCGATTTATCAATTGAATAAATGGTTTTATCTACATGTCAAGTTCTATACCAAAATATACAATAATTGTCAGGAAAAGATGTGAAAAGAAAATACATTACCTACCAATTTTTCGAAACGATTTGTTAATCATGACGAAATGGACTATAATTGGTGAATCATCCTCTTTGAAGACGTACACCTCTTCATAATTTCCATCTTTACATTTTTTCTTTATCGTATCTAACTTTAGTTTAGGGAAAGGAATACATCTTTTTCTTGCCCATTCTTCCGCTTTTTCCAATTGCTTAAAATTGAAATACACATTCATTTTACAATTTAATTATATTTGCACATATTCATCCGATAGGAATATTTCTTATCCCTTATATTTTGTTTTGCTTTATTTTGATTCGATTAATCGATGTCGTTTGCTCGCATGAATTTAGTCTAATCTTGTACCAATATTCATTGAGAGTTGAAAGACAGTAATGGATAGAAGGCGTTACACAAATGATTGCCTGTATCAATCATGACTAACCATACATGTACTTCTACGTGAAAATGCTTTGCCGGTATCATACATCAGTAAATTTGGTAACTCAAGATGGATTGTATGATATAAATGACATCAATATTGGTACACAATGACTACTAATTTTTTAATGCTTTAATAAGAAGCGCAAACATTTTCCAATTATACTAAAAATACTGAATTGGCACTTACAATCGGTAGTCCTGATATATCATTTATTGTACAATCATGTTAATATTTAAATGACAGAAATATTGGTACACAATGCCTTCAAAATGGTGAGCGCCAACTTTTTCTTTTTTTACTTATCTAAAAAGCTTCAAAGCAATTGTTTTGATATTTCAAAAGGGATTGTATATAAAAACTTTTCCCTGGATCAATTAACATTGGCCATATTTACACTTCATTATGATAAAAATATGCCGGTTCATAAATCGGTAAATTTGGTAACTCAGGATGATTTGTATTATATTAATTACAGCAATTTTGGTACACAATTACTTCTACCAAAAAATTTGTTGTAACCAGATGTATATGGGTCAAAACACATCCCAAAAAAAAAATATTGATGGTCATTGCATAGGCCAATATCTTTTGAATCAAAAACTTTAGGCAATAAAATAGTAAAATTTATGATTTTCTCTATTAAGAGTGAACAATTATGACGTCATTATGACACAACAATTCTTCGTACGCTACAGAGATAGTTGAATTTGTTTTCGTTAGATATTTTCTATTACTAAAGTTCAATATCCCGGAATTTTAAGGCAAATATGGACCCTTCGTGAACCAACTCCTTTTGGTGACTAATTTGAACGCATCTATTCCATTGAATTCAAAAGGAAACTAACACAATCTGTTTCATAAATTGATTTACAGCTAGAGATTTACAATAGAAAGTGTCGATTGGGAACAAAAATTTACGACCAAAAGGATGATTCAACTTTGAACTATCCATTTCTATCAGGCAACATTCCAACAGATCCTGCATGTGAAGTATATATCTCCCTGATGCCTTTCCTATCATTGCTAATTTGATAGCAAGTTGCTGTTTACAAGGAAGCTGTTGAACCAAGCATTCGGAGTGGAAAATTTAACGTCATCACTTAGGAATATAACGGGCGCATTCATGAGCTGCCTAACCGTTATTGAATCTGAGTCACAGATAACCACGGATACGTTACTATTTTTCGTAGACATTCTTCCGTCTCCTTTTACTCTTTTGGGACATAACTGATTGAAACTTAATACCAAATATGTCTTACCATAAGTAACACGACGGGAGTCATTTGTGGAGCAGTATATACTTAACCTTTTGAAGCACCTGATATTGACCCCGATTTTCGATGGGCATCTTCTTGGCCTCCTTTTAGTTTTTTATGTTTCTTTTTTTTATTGATTTTGCAATTATTTTGGCGGACTCTTTTCAACTTATTTATGAAAATTGCTCTTCATAAATGTATTGCTTAAGGAAAGCTCAAACCCATAAATTTGAGAGCCAGGAGTGTATAAACGTATAGAGCTATATAACCAAAACGGATCTTGATATAATAGCCAAAATAATAAAAGTTCTTGAGTTTTGAATTTCAAACTGGTATCATCATGCTAGTATAAATATCATGTATCAAATAAAAGCATTTCCTTTCTATAATATTCCAAATTATGTGAAACTGTATTTTGTGACGTAAACGATTAGAGCCGTCATCCATCTGAATAAAATAGCTTTATGTCTGACAGATTACCGACTGATGGTTGACTGATAAATGACTAGTTGGGAACGGCCACGTAACCAGAAAAATCTTAAAGTGCATGTTCTGTAAAATCATTTATCAAAGTAAATGATACAAAACGGCTAACCGACATACGAGCAAGGTTGTTTTCATAAGTGTAAATAGCGGGTCGCCGAAATTATTGCAATGCGTAAATATATAAAATTTTAATTAATTGAAAAACATACCAGTTCATTTACAAGTTAAGGTTAATTTCAGGTTAATCTGTTATTTTCAATCAGTTCCTATGTGACCTATATTTGGTTGATGTAATAATTTTTTTTAATAATGTCCGTCTTTTTCAGTCGGTAATAATCCTGTAGATCATTTTACAAGATACAATTTTATTTCAAACTTTCATCCTTGGCATGTGAATGGATGCAGCTGGTACATATTTATCGATGAGGAAGGTTTCAGGGTTAGACAGGAGCGCTTTACCATTGCTATCTTACTCTCTTACGATTATTGTAATTCATGATAAAACGATAATTGATTATAATTATGAGTTGTGGTATCAGTTTTCGGTATTTCTAATGAAAAGGACACTCTGGATTGTGTAAGACTCACGATTTCGTCTACTGCGGAAAATAAGGTAATAACTGGTTGAAGTATAATATTCACTTGAAATAATATCTGCTGGAATAACAAATAATCAAAACATTATAACTTGTAAGAAAATCTCGCCATTATATACTTTATTCTTATATAAGCATAGAAAAAATAGCTAATGGAGGTTGGCACTATTTACTTCAAATAATCAGTTGATGATATACTATATTTACCCGAAACGGCCACTCACTATCTGTACCACGGTAGCTAAAATCGAATGAGAGGATAACGTCTACCTTTCTAGAAGGATGCAGTACCGTTGGGTATGGTGAATTAAATGCAAGACCAGCATCAACTAACATCATAAAATCTTCTTTAAAGTCAATTAGGTCAGTACTTGATTCTGATATATAGAAATATTATAGAAATTATGAATGCGAATCAATACTTTATGTTAATTATAACTTATGTCAATACACATGGTCTTGTTATGTTTTTGGGAGGTTAAAAGTTGAAGCAAAGACAAACATGCTGAAACACATGATTCAACTAGTAAATATTGGTCAACAATAATTGAATGAATCCAGAATAGCTTGTTCAAATAGAATCAAGAATTTTGCCAGATCAAAAAAATAGTTTATATCAATAACAAGTCAGTTGTTATATACAGTCCGTTTCTATGTATGTTGGCGTTTTCTTTTGTTGTAGTTCAGTGTTTCTGTTGTTCCGTTGTTTCCTCTTATAGTTGATGTGTTTCGTTCGGTTTAAGTTTGTTACCGGGATTTGTGTTTGCTTAATTGAACTATGACTATTGAATAGCGGTATACTACTTTTTCCTTTTTTTTATATTGTGATAAACTCTTGTCTTAATATCAAGAGAAAATTCGTATATAACATTAAATGATAATTTAAGGTTAACAAACTCATTGATAAACAATGCCATAATATACAAAAGATTCCTTTCAAAAATGTGTTTCAAAGAACAGACAATACCATGATAAAAGATGTAAAAACAATACATTAATAGCTAAAGATAAAATCATATATACTTAAAAGCGGAGGTTGCACAACTGCCTAACAAAGTAAGTGTTATATATTGTATGCAGCTGAAGTAACAATTGCTAGATTTAATGTAAGGTTTACTTTATGTGTATGATTTGATATAGGAAATCACGGTGTCCCTAGAAAGTACAAAAATCATCTAAAGCAATTTTGACTCATGATACCACTTAGACGTGACGACGGATAGACAGACAGAGTGATTGATATTGGACACGGTCTTTTAGTCATACTTTTAAAGTATTGTCAAATATCACAACTTTATTATATATGAATGTGAAATCAATGTGAAAATTGCCATATATTTGTATTGGATTGTCCCTTTGGTTTATTTCGCCTATTTCCTATTGTTGCTTATCTGTTGTTGATGATGGAACATTGCCCTTCAGATGTCTTAAATTTATTATGTCGCTAGATTGCTGTCTACTTCACTTATACTCTACATCCCATTTATTCATTACACTTAAAGACTTGCCACTTAATATTTAAACTAATTTAACAGACACATGAATGGTTTTATTTCATAATTGTCAAATGATATAAAATTCCATGGACGTTTAAAATGTAATCTTAAATCAGGGGCTGATGTATTTTCTTGTTCTAGTAGTCCTAAATAGTATTTACTTTTCTCTTACCATTAATATCATCAATTTTTGTTCACATTCTTTTTCATCAATATCAATTCAAGAAAGATAAAATTTGTACCGGTAGACTAGTCAGGTTTTGGTTTTGAATCGATGAAATCATTTACCTACGGATCGAATGTGTGTATGCTTGTTACATGAGACAGTTTTTTTTCGGAATGACTCCACTGCTGTCTTACTGTTCATTTTTCTAGGAAATCATATGCAATAAATGTAAAACGACCAAACCAAGATAGCATATGTTTAAGCACATGCAGTAAGTATCGTGCAACCAGTTCATCATGACAGTGACCATTTTACACACTAAGTGTCGATTTAAGTTTTACTTTTTCAAAACCTTGGTGGAGCAGGTTTTTTAGCCGAAGCTTAAAATACTCACCCAAATGAAAAAACCTATGACTTTTAATAAACTAAATCGTACAATCTCATCTCAAAATAAACAACCAATGAAAACATTTGTGGTCACAAAATAGATTAAAAATTTAGCTGGGTTTGGATAAAATGTACAGACAGTCGATAACAAAAATTTAACTCAGAACATGAACCAACATATGAGAAGTTTTTTTTAAAGAGTATGTATGGCATACTTGTAAAATCCATAATATAAGCAAAGATATCTCAGAAAGCGTGAGAGACAAAGCAGAAAATTTTCGTGATCAGGTGCGTAAATGAAAGTTTTTATTAGAGTCGATTAAGTTTTACTGTATGTATATCATAATAGTTTTCTAGTATAGAGGTTTAGATAAATATAACACATAAACCTTTTGTGGTCAATAGTACATTTCCTTTGCAAATGCGAAACATATTGGTAAATCTGATTCAGTTGTCAGGGGCTGGTTATGAAAACGTAAACTTGTTTTCTAATACAAGTGTTACCTGGTCCAGGGAAAAGTGGTTCATCCGTTGATATTCCACGTAACCAATTTGGAACTTTTCCAACGAACTTTTTATCAAACTCGCTGAACATGGGACGCACCATATCCTTGACAGAACTGTAAACTAATCTTTTTTTCAATAAAAAAAACATAATTATAGAATCGTTAAGGAACGAAATGATACAAACTAGGAAAAATAAACGCTTTTAGAAATCAGTTGATATATATATGAATGAAATTAAGGTTCGTATTCATACGACGCGTTATGTTTTTTGTCATTATGTTTGTGATTTTGTTGACGATGAAGGCTGAGGCAAATACCCGAGCCTTCATCAGTTAGCCGTTGTCAAATGTGGAAAGTAAGGATCATCCAACTTTTATAAGGTATAATTTATCAGTATGTTATAAAAGAGAGTTAAAAACTGTCGATTATATCGCATAGATTTCATAGCAGAATATTCAAAAAAACTAATTTAAAAACTAATGCATATACCAACTGGCCATAGTACATTTTGTCTAAATATTCGATTTTTATTAGGTTACAATTATTGCAACCTGGGTATTTTTCTTTCTTCTTTTAATTCTAAATATATTGAAGCATGAATTTAACTGATGAAAATGGTAGCTTTACATGTTGTCCCTAAAAGGTAAAAATATAGTTGAATCTATTATCAAAAGTTACTAATCTGTATATACTATTGTTAACATACCTGAACAGGTTCCATGGATTCTCTACAATCAGAAAAAGTTGTTACAAGAATATGAAAGACTATTCCGTTTATGACAACGATTAAGTTATTTTATTTTATTTTTTTTTTAATTTATTTTGTGTCATTTTCAACCCTTCTTATTGCATAGTAATGTTATTCTAATCATTTCTATTTTTTGTTTTCAATATTATTCAACTCCATAATTGAATTAACTCGAGCGTCACTGATGAGTCTTTTGTAACAAAACGTGAGTTTGGTATTCATAAACTAATATCCTGGTATATGTGATGATGTATTTCAAATTAAGTCTAATTTTGCTTGCAATATTGGTGTTCTTAAATCTCCAAAAATGTAAGTTTTTTCTCGTATCAGTCTTCACAGTGTTCAAAAGTTATGAAGATGATTTTACAGCAAATTACTTAAAATCATAATGTTTTAAACGTTCTGTTCCGTCGATCAATTTGATAGGCCAATCATCAAATCACTTATTAAATACTGTGTAAGTGCAATATTAACATGGATTGTTTTGTCTCTATAGCTGCTGAGAGGATTTTTTTTTCCATTTAAACTCTTTCAGTCTTCCTAAAGCACAAGTTAAATATTTTTTAGCCATGTACTAAATTGGAAACCCTTGTTGCTACATATCTTTTTATAACATTTGGATGCAACAAGATTATCAACTGGCCAAGAATGTCGTGTGCTTTTGTGTAAAATCATTCGAGAAAGTTTAAACTCAAAATGAAATTTTAATTCAATTTATTATCAAATAACATTAACACTTAATAAATTTCGTACGAAGTGCTTTCCTCGTTGAACCTTCACCAGGAACGCCCAACGCCAAATATTCGAAAGCCAGTGATGTAAAAATTTCAAAAACACCAAACGGTTACTAAATGGAAAAACTATTCTAGCGTCAATATTGCCTGAGAGAGTTTTACAACTCCAGGGGGCCACATGTGGTGCAGGATCTGCTTGCCCTTCCTGAGCACCTGAGACAACCCCCCCCCCCCTTCCCTCCCTCCCCAGTTTGTTTTTGTGGGGTTTGTGTTGCTCAGTCTTGGGTTTTCTATGTTGTTTTTTGTGCACTGTTGGTCATTTTCATTTTTTAGTTTTCTTTCCTTCTTTTATTTCTAAATATTAAAAATCTCCACAGACAATTCAGAACAAGTATTGACATCATTCGTAAATACAAATCATTGTGCAGACATCTTATACATTCAGGTATTTCACATCTTTTATGGTAATATTCTATACGAAGCACCAAAATGTAGTCACCTAAAAGCTAACCAAATTTTTAAACAGATTTATTCACAAGGGGTATAGTTACGATACTGTTGTCAAGTTATTAAAAATGGCATTTTTTTTACCTAATATTGATTCACTTAGGATCTTTGCATTGGAAATAAACACATTTATTCTGAAACCAGTTGTTGGCATGAATAAAGGCAACAGTAGTATACCGGTGTTCAAAAGTCATAAATCGACTGAGGGAAAACAAATCCGGGTTACAAACTAAAACAGAGGGAAACACATCAACTATAAAAGGAAACAAAGGAACAACAGGAACACTGAAGTGCAACAAAAACAAACGCCAACATACATAGAAACGAACTATTTGATAACAACTGCCATATTCCTGACTTGGTACAGGACATTTTAAGAAAAAAATGGTGGGTTGAACCTGGTTTAATAATGAAACGGTTTATGTTCTCGTATAATTCATGATGGCATGATACTAAACCCCTAATGGGAGGAATTGTTGATGATTATCATATGAAGAAGACATAATCTTTCGATAAATTTAATTGAGGTCTGAAGCTTAGTTTCTTTTGTTGCCTATTCTTACATCAGACTCGGACTTTTACTGTGCGTATTGCTGTGTGTTTGTGTATTCCACATTGGCAAGAGGTAAAGAGGGAGGGTTCAGATCTCACTAAATATGTTTAACCCCGCAGCATTTTTTGCGCCTGTCCCAAGACAGGAACCTCTAGCCTTTGTTAGTCTTGTTATAGCAATACACTACTTCGTTAATTTTTATCAACAGAATGAATAAAGTGTAAAACGACGAGTGTCACTGATAAGGTATAAACTGCTGACCCCTTAATTTGTATACTGGATTTTGGAAGAGAGTTTGTATTGCTCAATTTTCTGTTCTTTTTTTTCTTAGTCTTAGACTGCTGCTTATCAATTTGTGAATGTTTTGTAATTGTTTCAGTCGTCTTCAACGACGTGTGTGTGCTTCTTTTCTTTTTTTTTAAACAAATTAATTAATTCTATTGCACCTTTGCTGTTAACAATTTACTTCATCTACAGCTTCTATTAAGAATCCCTGTAAATTAGTTATTGAATATCTAGGGAAATTATTCAATAAAGTTTATCTATAAAGTTAGGTATATTAATACATTAGAACAGTTTTGCATAATAAAATGTTTACCGGAATACATACGTTTCTTCACCTATATTGTATTTAATTTTGTTAAAGCTTCACTGAACCGCGAAAATGATGATGATCTTTCATGAATCTTCATCAGTAGCTTTTTGCCGACAATAGCCTATTTTGAACTTTTTTTTTTCTTTTTTTTTTTGTTTACACAACTTGTAAAAGTAGTCTTAGTTGATGAGGTAAGAATGTTATTGTTTTTACACATTAAGTGTACTACTTCAATTTTTTTAATTAGTAAAAGTTAATTTCTATGTGAAAGTGAAATAGTGAAATAATAATTCGCTTTTAGCAGCCAGTATGGTTCAATTTCGTCAAAATAAGCTAAGAAACATCGATGATGAATTATTCACTTGCAAGTGAATAATTCGACCTCATTGAGTCCGTATTCATGTGACCTTTAATTTAACTCTTTAGCTATAGATGGATTATCATGAATTATCCGTGTTCAGTTATTAGAAGGAAAAGAATGTCAACACTGAAAGTGAAACAAAGGTAAATCATTTGATTGCCTGATTCGATCCACAAGAAGTCATTCTTATACAGGTAAAAATGATGATTATCATATATCTAAACCTATAATATGAAATTAAACAGACCTAAAAAAATCCAATTGCACGAGTTCGCTATCTATTTTTATCTATATTTATGTTTATATCGCTCATATGACCGTCGGCAGGTCAACTCGATAGTTAATTAGATGGCATCTAGACTAAAATACACACGAAATGATGATACATATAATCGAGCCCATGCCTTGTAAATTGTTTATTTTATACCTTTTTTTTTGGATATACATTTTAGTATGTTATAAATCAAATATGAGAATTTGAGTCAAATCGGTGAACATGAATTTGACAGCCAATGTCCCTTTAAAAATGTTAATAGTTGTTCAATTTTATGCCAATTATGCACATTATTTGAACAAGAAAAAAGAAGTGCTTATAATCATCATGTTGCTTACAATGGAAGCACGAACCACTTGGTAATATTTTCCATTTATAAAGTTATTCATTACATGTTAATATATAATGTATTATTTTCCATTTTAACATTTTGAATTTGTTGTTTTCAAGGTAGTTAAAAATAAAGTCAAATGTGGACTTACATTTTGTAGTCATTTTTTTTTTTATGAAGAATTCTTTCCCACATTAAAACTCCTATCGGTTTATCATGTCTAAATTGACTTTGCAAGTAAGTATATACTTCTTTGTTGCTCATATCTGGTAAAATTTCTTGTTTTAGTAGTATATCTAACTTTTCCGATTTCTTTTATAGTGATAACAGTTTTGTAAGAGCTTTATTGTATTAGGATATTTTGCCAGTGCTTTGGTATAGCTTTTTTAACTAATGAAAATTATCTAATCCAGTCTTGTTTATTCATTAATATTTTTAGTACAGTTTCTGATGAGATGTATCCGTTTTCATCTATTATATTATTGATGTACAAAATATTACTATCAATCCAGTTTGAAAGAACAGACATTTCCCATTTTCTTTGATAAGATAGTTTCCCAATATAAATTGGTTTCTAACCTTAAGAAAGATTCTTGGTATGATTGTTTGACCTCCTTTTACTGCTACCCATGTTTTAATTAATTATTTATAGAATTCTGTTTAAGATTTTAAATATATTTTGTTAAGCATGTTTACATTTGTTAAATTCATTCTGAATAAGAGAAAGTCTTTCCCAAATTTATGAGGTAAAATCTTGGAATAATTTTCCAGTTATCATTTTCCTTTTTTATTAGTTTTTCAACTCCTCTGATTTGTAATGATTTTAAATAGCAATCTAAATTAATCATTTGTTATCTTCCGTCAAGATATGGTTTATATAATATAGTACGTTTCACTTTACCTTTTTTCCCATTCCATATAAAATTATATATTAAATTTTTGAACTTTTGCTTTATTTCATTTGTTATTATCATACTTGATGCAATGTATGTAAGGTTTGTAAAATTAAAGACTTTACTGCAGTAATCTTTCCTATTAATGTTATTAAAATTGCAAATGGAATGGGGATGTGTCAAACAGACAACAACCCGACCAAAGAGCAGAAAACAGCCAAAGGCCACCAATGGGTATTCAACACTTAGAGAAAATCCCGCACCCGGAGGCGGGCTACAGCTGGCCCCTAAACAAAAATGTGTACTAGTTCAGTGAAAACAATTTTCTTCCATCCTTGAATTAATTTTTCACATTAATCGATTTGCTTCTCTGTGTTTAATTTATGACATTCTTGATAATTGTATCCAAAATATATACCTAGACTTTTAGTTTAAACATGTTTTATTTGCTCAAAGAAAAAAGGATCAGACACAAGTAAAACATACTTATAAAGTCTTCTCCACAATACAATATATATAACAATACAAATTGAATGTGAGCATTCATTATATAATATAAAAAACATAAATAATACTTAACTATATTAAAAAAATGAAAAGGAAATGAAGAAAGAAAGACAGAGATTAAGATGATAATGGTAATGATATTGATGTGCGTTTTACCTATGTTGATATTATACTACGAGGAATCGCTTTGATCTCTTTATGAAATTGAATACTTGTTTAACAATTTGCACATTTTGATCATAGGACAGAATTCTTTACCAAAAACCAATAGTTTTAAGTCTAAATTGCAGCCTTCGGTAAGCCAGCTGAGACTATTAAACAGAATAGCCCTTTCGTTTAAATAGAAATGACAATCAAAGAAAAAATGGCGTACGTCCTCAATATCCAAACCACATTTACATGTTGGATCAGATATAAGGTTAGCTCTAAACAAGTCACAAATCAAGAAGGACGCAGAAATCTTAATTGGGTTAAGATTATATTCAATTTTCTAGGACCATATTAATAATGTTAAGATTCATTCTCATTTCGAACGTCTTGGTTTTTTAATTCTACTTTGAATTTTAATATTGAGTCTACATTTCGAACTGACATGTTCACATTATTCCAAAGTTTAATTGTTGAGGGGATAAATAGTCAGGAAGTCAGTGTCAGCCTGCAAAATGGTAAAATAGTATCTTGTCCATTTTGAAAGGGATATTGTGTTGTACTTTGAATTTTAGGGGCACAAGGCTACATAAAAATTCAGGGGCATTATTATTTAGAATTTTATAAAACCATTGTAGTTTTCTTCTTTTTCTTCGTTCCTCTAAGGTTTTCTAACCAACCTCTTTAAAGACTATCTCACAATATGTGACAACTGGTAAACCTGTTACAATTCGTCCAGCTTCAAGTTGAAGCTGTTCTAATTTAATTGAATACCCTTTTCCGCGACTTTAAATGTGGATTGTTTCCAGTTTATATTTTCAAATTAATCTTTTGAATGTTTAAGTTTCCAACGCCGCAAACCTTCTGTTTTATTTCTATTCAATTTAAGTCCAGAAAGGCTTCCAAAAGTTTCAATAATATTAAGGGCTATACTTATATCTTCGCTTGTTTTTAAAAAACAATTGAGTATCATCTGCCAATTGGCATATTTTTAGCGAGCAAGATTTTCCATCTAGTTTCATTTCAAATCCTTTTAGTTGCTTATTTTCCCTAAATTTAATTGCCATTATTTCAACAGATAAAAACAAAAGTTAACGAGGGTAACGTGTGCTTCTATTCTTATTGTTTTATATTAGGTCATATAAACATCGAATGCAATCTTGTCAATGCAGTGTAACAATGGTTAGTAAAATATTACTTTGCAAGACATTTGCTTTTAGTAAAATCTTCTTCGAACAATAAATGGAAGAAAACATTGGCCGATTTTATGTCTTGGATTAATAAATATCATATGTTGTTTATTGCAAAGTTATAACTATCAACTAATGTTGGGTTCACATTTGCTTTCCTGTTTGTCTTGTGTTGCTTTCTTCATTTTATACTAGTAGCTAGACTTAAGTCTTAAACTGTCATTGGGGTCTGAAGAAGTCTATATCAACTGAATGTTTTGTAAGAAAACTTGGATATTTTTTTCGTCGATGTTCAAATCAATAGTTACTAACAATCATTTTACATTTTCAGATGCACGTGTTAACATAATTTCCTGCTCTTTGCACTTTAAGAAACCACATGCAATACATTTTAAGATATGTCCTGATATAACCTGCTGTCAGTTAGGCAGAATATTTTACTCTGCGATGTTTACTTGTTTTCTCACGAACGTGTGTCCATCTCTCTCTCAATCGAATTTTCGAGTTGTCAAAGAACAGAAATGAAACATTTGCCTCTGGAGACCTATTAACGCTATCTTTAAACTGTAATGGACCTCCCTATTATGTGTACAAAATCATAAACAGTATCATGGTATTTGTAAAAGAGAGGCGAAAGATACCAAAGGGACATTCAAACTCATAAGTTCGAAAAATAACTGACAACGGCAAGGCAAAAAAATCGGAAAAAGACAACAAGAAATTACATTATACAAAACACAGCATAGAAAACTAAAGACTGAGTAACTCGAACTCACCAAAACCGGGAATAATCTCAGGTGCTCCGGAAGGTTAAGCAGATCCTGCTCCACAAATGGCACCCGTGGTGAAGTTGGTGTGATACAAACCCGGTGATAAATTTAATTCGGTTAGACACATTCGAGGAAAACAAATTGGGATAGTGGTTTCGACAAGTGGAACATTTTAGTCGTCATCTGTGAAACAGATATTTCATAACGGTCAACCAACTCTTGATGGCGTCAATACAATTTTAGAAGGGATGATTTTAACTTCACCATTTGGAACTCTAGGTTTAATACTACCCAGTTAACAGTAATTCACTATCCTAGACTTATTGCAACACTTTTTCTGGTCAGATGTTGTTCATTTTACAATTTTTCAATCAATCTCAGTTAAAAACTGGGTTTTTTTTTTGGCGAATAGAAATAATTTTAATATGCACTAATAGTTATAGTTAAAAACTTTCCCTTTTAGAATTTTCACTATTACAAACTGTTTCAAACAAGTTTATACGTTTGCTCTGTGAAGATATCCGATTGCTAAACATTGTTTTATAGCTGAATTATTCATTTTAATAAAATTGTCTTACCTTATGTGGTAAAATTGTATACATAAAAGCATCCCTAGTACATCAAATAATACTTGGCTGCGTTTGCACGGACCGCATAAAGTATAGTGAGTGCATTTTTTCTACTGTGGTAGGGTGTTTGACATATCGATTGGGAGACAATCATTTAATCTAAACGTCTTATTTAACCATCTAACTCCTCGTAGGGAAATTTTCCACAAAATAAAAATGTATGTCTGTGATGTGTGTTTACACAGTTTTGGTTGCTGAATCTCAATAATTGTTATATTAACCTATCATATATGTTTGGGTTGCTCACCCAATTTTATCAATAAAACGAAACTATTAACAACTGTCATACAAGTGGGAAGTTTAGCTATGTATTAAACCATGATTAAATCATCAGTTTTTATGAAATTTACCTTATCTAAATCTACCTTGGAGTTCGGTATTTATTTTATACTTTTTTATTCCAACAATTTTAAGCATTGACTCCCATTTTGAACCATATAAAATCATTAAAAGTGTCATAAGTCTAGTATTTAGTTTTTACATAATAGAAATTCCAATTTCAAACAAATTCATGGATTTCTACCCTATGCGCAAAACAAATACAGAGGAAATTGACAATTTCTTTTTTTTTTTTGTGGAAAGTTGATTACTCTGAAGTTAAGATTGAAGATATCACTCCCTTTTTTGACATTCAAACTTAAATAATGATATACAAATATACTGATATAAAACAAAATAGATACAGATATAGAAAATAATATTCGGATCAATTTTAAATGATACAGAAAAAGAATAAAATTGAGAATGGAAATGGGGAATATGTCAAAGAGACAACAACCCGACAAAGAGCAGACAACAGCCGAAGGCCACCAATGGGTCTTTAACGCAGCGAAGCAGAAACATATTTACAGATTTTGTAGAGTTTTATAATTTGAAAAGTTAATAGATTTTCGGAGCAGATATCAGGAGAAAAAAAAAACCTACAATAGTACTGGTTTCAATACTTCGGTAACTCTAATTGATAAGAAAATGAAACATTGATGTTATCTACTCGTCAGTACGAACATCAGTGCACAGTAAAATTAGAATCAAAAACGGTTACCACAATTACTTATATTCACAACATCAATTTGTTGTTGAAAATTAGTAAAAAAATAAAATAAAAGTATTCGTAAACGTTCTGGAATGAAAAAGATATTACAATTATGTTTAAAAGACCGAACAGAAATGTTTCTTAGTTGTTTCGCATTTAATGCTGAAATTTTGAGAAGCCCTTAATAAATACTGAGAAAGTTTCTTACGTTGTGAAAACAAATCTAAACACAATTTGACAAATTCAAAACGATATTTTGTACCTTAAGTCTGGTTTATTCTGAACGCATCTTATGCAAATCCTAGCACCTTTGGTGTTCTCAGAACTTTTGAACAAAACTTTAATGCCTGTAGTCACTTTCGATCAAAATCTTTTTAAAACTTTTAACATTATGTCAGTCGATTAAGATTTGACCACAAAAAGCCTTTCTGACTTCATGTACGTATTTCACGTTTCAGATCTCGTTTATTATTGTAAAAACACGTTACTTACCTGCTTGTATAATATTTTCTTCTATTTCCTTCTCATTACCACACATTCCTAGGTAAAAATGTCTTTGTGTAAATGTTGTGTAAATAAATTGGATTATAATGTGCTAGATTTACTAAGATATATCAAAAAATTATAAGACATGCTTTCAAATGATTATGTGTTTTCTATTGATGGTTAGTGATTCCAGTTTGTCAGTTATTGACAATAACACTTTATGAATGTCTTGTGTTTGAAGCGTTATGTTTTAATTAACATTCATCAAGAACGCCCAAACTTGAACATTTGAAAGCCAGGGATGTTTACAAAAGTATGGAACAAAATGACTAACAGGTACCTTAAAAGATAAGCCGAATGCACGTTATGTCAACTTTGCCGTTAGGTTTTTTATACCTGAGATCATCCCCGGTTTTTGGTGGGGGTTCGTGTTGCTTAGTCTTTCGTTTTCTATCTTGTGTTTTGTATACTGTTTTTTTCTCTTTTGGTCTTTTTTGTTTTTGTCATGGCCTTGTCAGTTTATTTTCAACTTATGAGTTTGAATGTCCCTTTGGTATTTTTCCCCTCTCATTTACGTTGTAATTCTATCTGATATATCATGTCTGACCGTTACTGCTGGTGCCTTTCATAATCGATGTCTATTTATGAACAGAGATACACGTGGTAAGAGGAGATGGTCAATTCCAGAAATCGATTTTTTTTTCTATTTGTGTAATTTATACCAGTCATTAAAGATGAGTATGATCATGTTAATAACTACGATATATATAAAAGTAGCATAGCAAACATTTCAGCTTTAGACTGTTATAGAAAATTTAGTCTTTATATGTAAGTTGCAGATTATGTTTATCTCTTTATAATTTAATCTGGATGTAACACATATTCTGATTGGTGAAAGTTTTTTGTCTATCAGCTCATAGACATAATTTTGTCATGTGACCGTGACGTCATCAACGTTCTTTCATGATTTACTCCTTAAATATGGAATTTAGAGTTAAATTATCAGGAATGACAGTAATATATTTTCTGTCTATTTGAAATGACCTCACAAATGTGATGCACCCTTTTAAATAACATGCTACGCGGGTTATTCAGTGTGCACCACATTTTTGAGGTTATTTCTTCATAGACAGAAAAAAAATTACAGTCATTCCTTGAATATCTGAATGATTGGTGTTTTTCTGATAAAACAAAAACAGACTTTGACCTCAGGAGTTGGAACCTTAGTTTCTTATTTACACATATTGTTAGAAAGAATGTGATAAATAATGTCGATATCGAAGCACTAAATCCTGAGCTGATGATTTCCTCGGAGACTGACATTTAACAAGAAGAATATCTTTTGAATTTGAGAAACTCTAATAAAAATAACCTGCCACAAAACCAGGTTCAACCCACCATTTTTTCTTAAAATGTCCTGTACCAAGTCAAGAAATGGCCATTGTTATATTAGAGTTCGTTTCTGTGTGTGTTTCATTTTAATGTTGTGTTTTGTTGTGTCGTTGTTCTCCTCTTATATTTGATGCGTTTCCCTCAGTTTTAGTTTGTAACCCGGATTTGTTTTTATCTCTATCGATTTGTGAGTTTCGAACAGCGATATACTACTGTTGCCTTTATTTAATAATAGTCGTTGATTTAATTTTGCCATAAACTGAAAAGTATGTTTTGATTTAAAATTAGAAATTTATAAATTATCCAAGTTGTAGAACAAAGTTGCAGCTCGCTTAAACATCATTGCAAATATTATGTTGCAATACAAACGATTGTGTTATATTAGATACATATAGGATAAAATACATATAGGATAAAATACATTTTGTTGGTGATGAGATAAAGTATCAAGTGTATATACATATAACATATTTTATATTACTTACAACTACTAAATATGAGTCTTTTTCATGTTAATATCATAAGTGTTTTCGTGTTTTTCTAGTGTTTTTAACTTCTCACTAGCATCTCTGATACCTAGTTTCCCTGCCTTTCAAGATTTTGTTCGTTTTGTGTTTTTAAGTTTTTATGTTATGCATTTGCAAGATTTACCTGCTGGTCTAAAATTTCTTAAAATTGCATACCCACTTCCACACATTCCTATATAAAAGAAATGCCTATTTGTAAATATACACTTTATAGACTATATTTTATTTGATTACAATGTTCTCGATTCATTTAGATGTACCAAATAATATTAGGTTGAAACTACTTCTAGACCGTTTGTCATTAGACGGCTTTGACTGTTTTTGTAGCCAATTTGTGTTAAATACTCACATGCTTTTGATAACGTTCTGATGAGGGATCAAAAGATACGTGTATTGCAAGAAATTTGTATAAGTTTATACAATTACTGATGGAGTATCCTCTGTCCAATGAGCAGTGTTTTGTTAATGACAGTAATGAAATGATGCACATTTTTATAAATACCGGTGTCTATAAATTATGTGTGTGTGCTTAAACTAAGATTCCAACACTCTAAGAAAACTTTGTCGTGATTGCTTTTAATATGTCCTTTTAATGTTATGCTCTCAGCCGTCCTATATTATTGGCTCTCAAAAAATGTTGTCTGAAACGCATTTGATTAAGTTTATTCCAGAAAAAACGTGTGAAAAGCTTCGTTATCATACATCCCGCGTTTTATTTAATTTTGAATTTTTACAATTTATCAAGGTCTAATATATTAATTATTTTTGTAATGCATTAGAATCAGATTGATTAAGGACTTTCCGCTTTCAAATTTACTCGGAGTTCGGTATTTTTGTTATTTTACTTTTCAGAATAACAGTATTGACATTGAAAAGTTTCCGCTTTCAATTTGGATTTGACGGTTACAAATATTCTTTTTACTGGTTCAACTACGTGTCCCCATCAAAACTGCATTTGCGACCGTCAATTTCCAATTGACAGCATCAACTATTCAGCTACAGAACTGTTATTTCTGAAATCGCAAACACAAACATATGACAAAACATTCATAGTGTTTACGTGTTTTCTGCTTTTTATCGATCTTTCGAGTTCAGCCCTTTTCAACTGATTTTTATAGTGTGTTATTTTGTTGTACTGTTCCATCACTATCCCAGGTTAGGGGGAGGGTTTGGCGCCAACAAACTAGTCTAACCCCGCCACATTCTGTATGTTCCTGTCCCGAGTCAGGAGCCTGTGATTCAGTAGTTGTCGTTCGATGCTGTATATCGTTTCTGGGCCTTTTATAGCCGACTATGCGGTATGGGCTTTGCTAATTGTTGAAGGCCGTGCGGTGATCTAAAGATGTTAACTTCTATGTCATTTGGTCTCTAGTTGAGGGTTGCATCATTGGCAATTATACCACATATTCTTATTTCTATATTTACCACCCCAAATTCTTCATATGTCCGTCCCAAAGCAAGAGCCTGTGTCATTGTTGCAGTGTTTTTCTGCCTCCCATATTTATTTATTTTATTTTTATATGAGCATACTTCAGGACCCGGTTGTTCATCTCTTGGTTTAATTTTAATCAAGGGTTAAATATTATAATAATTGGTTAAAATTTACCCATAGGTTATTTTCTGTTGTTCATCCTTAGGTTTAATTTAGCCCTTTGTTAAATCCTTGGTTAAATGAATCAGATTTAACCTTGCTTCTGATCTCGGTTAAAATTGTAACCAAGTGATAGTGTTGTCTAAAAGTACGATTCCCTGTTTATAATTAGTCCTTATGGTCACTTAACGTTTGATACAACATATTTTTGATTCTACGACCATTACTAGTCATCTAAAAGCTTATTATTACGTTTTACCGCCCTTCCACCTTTTCTGCATCGAAGTTTACATTCATAGAGTAAGTGTCTACCTAACAGACATTTCCAAATCAACATTTTGTTTATCTTGTCATCTTCTGTGTCCATAAACAAATTGATGTAGCAAAATTGAACATTTTTCAGTAAGAAAGTGTATTTATCTATAATGAAATACAATTCTACGATCAACACTTCTTTTCAAACAAAAGGTGCTCTCTGTCACGACTGCGTTGTTGATGTACTATCTAATGAACTTAGTCGATTAAAATCGTATTGTTTTAATACGAATCATATTTATTAACCAAACAGTTCTTCTAGGACCGGAGAAAAGTGTTAACAATTATCTATTTTAATTAAAGTGAACATTCACTGAAACTTTAACCATGGGTTACGTAACAAAGGGTTAAAAAGAAGTTGAATAACAGAATTTTCTCAGGTAAAAATTTAACCATGAATTATATTTAAACAAGGGTTATATTTAACGGAGAGGGGAAGAACCGGGTCCAGGCCGTTGGTTTTCTCTTTTTAATTGGTAGACATTTTGTCATTCAAGGCCATTTTAAAACTTATTATACGGCATTGGTTTTGCTCTATTTTGAAGGGTCGAACGGTGTTTTTTGTCACTGATGGACAGAAGTCTCAATGGCCATTAGACCACATTTCTTATTTATAAATCTGGATCACCATGTCATGTAGCAGCTACCATTTAAAAAATGAATTGTCTTTTCTTCGCCTTCATCCATAGCAAATCCTCCATAAAATGTATCACCAAATTTCTCCATGTCAATAGCTGCGCCATATTTCGGGATGAATACCTCATATGGTGAAAATTCAATCCATTCTACAATATTCATATTCATTATGAAATATATTGTCGAATAATGATTACACAATATATAAGAATATTAATTGCAGATTGATTTTAAAATTTTTTTAATTTCCTATTGTAACGTCATGAAAAAAGGCGACCATGCCTGATGACGTCACATATAAAGAACACAACTTTCTGCAAATCTTTGAAAAGGAAGAATAAAAATCATAAGAGAAACAGATTCCACCACATTATAACTCGTGTATTACGATATTGCTCCACTCTCAACAGTTAAATTTTAATTATTTAAAAAGCTCGGCATGCCTCGCGCTTTAAATATTAAAATTTAACTGTCTCGAGTGGAGAACTATCGTAACACACTTGTTGCAGTGGTGGAATCTATATTTCTATCCTATGCCCTGAAATCCGTTTTATCATTTCAAACTTTCATATTCAGTTAAGTTTTGTGCATGAATTTGGTAAAGCCTAATGATTAAACAAAAGACATTCCCTTATTCCTTTGGGCATGATGATAAGCCCTTTTTGAAATGGCTGATCAATGCATTGTCACAAGGGCAGTATGAACTGCTGAACATATTTTTTAACATAACAATACCTTTATTGCATATTTGCTGTAACAAAGTTTATAACTTTTAGCTTAGTATATCTCAGGTTAGTATACCTAATAGTTAAATGAAGCAGTACATGTATTTGGTAAGATATAACGTATTCATAATATTAGTATCCATAATATGATTCATTCCACAAATGTATTTAATAAATCATTGTGAATACACATACAGATCTTTGGTTTTTGTTTTCGTTTTTTTATATAACTTAGTTTTCCAGAATCAACACGGTTATCGATGTAATCCGTGTTCCGTTTAGATTTGGGCACAGTACTGCTTCAGCAAACATGTACGCTATCGGATAGATTTATGATATGTGTCATGTAAATATTTCATTCTAAAGAGGATTTAACCTATTTGATAAAATTTGATGAGTATATAAGTTTTTGAGTTATCAATTGATCTTTTCTATTTCGACGTGTATATGTATTCTATTGCACAAGTTATAATATTCATATGAGATTGCACAGTATTTCCCTTCACTAATTGATAATCGTGCTGATATATTAATTTTTGTTTAACGTTGGTGAATACACATTTATAAATCTAAAAACACAGTATGTTACATGTCGTGACTCATGCATGGTTGAATATGCTTACAAACATATCTTGAATACATGCATTGTTGAACTGTTAATAAACATGACTATATTTGAAATATGTGCAGTTAACAATTTTCCATACAATGATCTGTACTTACTATAGAAGAATTTTATCAAAACATCTAACATAGATTTAGTTCTGTGAATAAATATTGATCATGCTAGTTATGATATTAACATTGATACTTGCCAGTGAATTTATTTGTTTTTAGAATATACTAATATTTTTGTTATAGCAATTATTTATTTCAATAATTTCTGAAATTTCTTTCTGAAAATTTTTGAAAATGTGTATCTGTTTGTGTTTTTTTTTTCTGAGACATAATGTGCTTTGTATATTGAAAAATCTATTATTGTTAATATATAGTTGATATCAATGAATGCTGCGTCTTCAATTTTGTACCCTGTTACTAAATTTTCAATGCTTATAATGTCTTTGTCAATACCAAGGGATTTCATTAATGTCATTACTATAATAAGAAAGTCAGTATTAAATGAGCAATTGACAAAAAAGTGTTCATAGTCTTCTTTTTTTACAATGCTTACATAAGTTGTCATCAGTAGTTTTCCACTTTTTCAAAAGTTCATTACATGGCAGTATGTGGTGAATAAGTTTTTATCTGAATATTTTCAATCTATTATCAGTGAGATTTTGAAAATACAAACAAAATTATCTATGCTGAATATTTATAGCACTTTAACTATCCTAGATTTTGGCCTTGATCTTGTTAATCAATCTTGTGTTTTGTCGGCTGGTGTTTGTTGTTGTTTTTATTATTTTGTCTTTTGTAATTTTATCGCATTATTGTTTGTTTTTCTTTAATGTATTATTTTCAATTTCTCTTGATGTCTCCATAAGCCTTAATATCTCTCTAAGACTTATAAAGTATTTATAACAGAAGTGTTAATTACCGTGATAGTCTTCAATTGATTTCTCTTCACGAACATGCAGAGCAGCTATCAACGGTAAAGGCATGGCACCGTTTTTTAATTTATTTGCCTGTTCACTCCAAGGGACATTCTGGTGATATATATTAAGTAATCAATGTGTGACAACACTAGTCTATTATACACATTCACATGATCAATTTCATAACAATCACATACGAATCAAAAAACAGAAAAGGCGAATTTCTAAATTGCATATTGTATATTTCAACTTAAACTTGACACAAAAATGATAAGAAGAGGAAAAAATTAATGAATGGTGAAACATAAATAGAAGACTCAGAGTTATAAATAGAAGTAAGGAAATGTGGTATGGTTACCAATGAGACAACTATCAATCAGAGACAAATTTATATTTTCAATGACATTTTTATATCTACTTTAAGCTTTCGGTACCACGTAGAGGACAAGGTTTTGGTCGAGATATTTCTTATACTACTCTAAAATAGAATAAAACTTATCATCCCCGGTCAAAGGTGAACTAATCACAATGTTTTGAATTTGTTTTATTTAAATCATCTTCAGCTTCGTAATTGATTCGGCTTACACAATGTTTTGATTTGAACACTATCGGTGAGTTTGATATATTTTAATCTACCTCGAATGTTCGAATATTGTCGTATAAAGCAAGGTCTGGTGGCTTTGTTGACATCAGAGAAGAAATGCATCACCATTATTTGTAATTGAATATTTGTGTTGCAGATAATGAAAGATAGGTTTCATTCCGGTATTGGTGGGGTTCGGATTGCACGATGTTTAGTTTTTTGGGTAATGTTTTGTGAGCGATTTTCTTTTCTTTTAACTTTAGGTTTATGAAAGCCGCCTTGTTATTTTCCATTGCCCTCTCTTTTTGTGTCCAATTAACTTAAATCTATATTGAACAATATGCGATTGTGTAAACACTTAAAATGAAACGTTATCGAAACTTTTCAACACCTCCCCTATAATCTGTTAATTCAGCATCTAAATTAACAGATTATAGGGGAGGTGTTGAAAAGTAAATTTTACAGTCTGAAGTACCAACACTGACATAGTTTAGGCAAAAAAATAATATTCCTAAATAAATGTGCGCAACGTTACAGTCAGACCATTGAAATACCTTTTCACGTGAACATAAATAAATATGTGTCCCTTGGTCAAATTTTTCCGAGTTTCTCAGACCATATCTTTCGTGTTCTGTAGCTAACAATTTCAATAGCTTTTAGTATATTCATCACAGTTTTTGTCTCAACATTCAGTACGGCAAGCAGTGCATCTAATGTTAATTTTGTTAAATAAGTTTTGATTATATCAAATAAACTTCAAAAGCTTTAAAAGTCTGATCAGAGTTAAATTTTGTTTGTATCAATTAGTTTTTATCATTGTTTTTGTCCTCTTTAGAATTTGTTGTTGATAACATGTCTTTGTGCGAAAATTACTCACAATAGGAGTATACGTCAGACGATTTTAAGATTGACATATGGCTTACATGCATGACAGTTGTGCATATCGACATTATGATTTCTATTTTGACTCTTTGATGCTTTAAAGCTGTTTTTCAAAAACGTATACCTTATATCTTATGTCGTTGACAATTATAGAGAAAAAGTTCTATCTTACCTTTTGAAGAAGGAAAGAACTAATAAGGTATCCAAATGGATCTGCAACCGTAATATTCTTGTTTTTAAATTGATGTAACCAGCTTGTATAATACTTCCAAGTATACCATGCATACAAAAACATATTTGAACGGATCTGTGGCACTGTTTCCCGAAGTTTGGTATTTAATTCTGTAGCGTTTGGCCGTATACAGGAATACAAAGACATTAGATACCTGTATGAAATATTAATATTTAGATAAAATAAACACAATGTTTAATTTCATTTTAAAGATTAACTTTTGCTTCATTCTAATATTAGATACTTCTCACTGATGATAAAGCATACACATTCCATTTTGATAGTATTGACAATTGATTATAACATCCCGCCAGATTTTGTTTTCGTCTTTCATGTTTTTCTGGGCGCATTAGAAAAGATTTATTTAGTATATTTCCTTCTTCGTATTTTCTGATTTAATTTAAAATTATCTTCTTTCAGGGAAGAGTGTTTAAGCAACTTACTTTAGTGAACAGTTTAAATTAACATTTATCAAAACTTTGTCCAAATTCAGAGTTGGTAATCAAGTGTAATTCGCTTTTTTATATTTATGCAATTGCGTTATTTAGCATAATTTACATTATTTGTAAAAGAAATGCTAAAACGAATGATATTTGTACATGCACTTATTGTAAATTTATATTAATTTGTCCATTCTTGTTGTTCATGAAACACCATGTTTATTCATGCAATTCCTGATATATCATTACCAAAGTAGCCCAAGATGCATACATGTGAATCCATGATAACCTCACTCGACCAGGGAAAAAATCAAATGAGTTAAAACTCTCGTCGTTTTACCTGATTGGATAACCAAGGATATCATTTTCACCCATTATGCATCATTATACACCATACATCAATTTCGTATGTCCAGTGTTTAAGCAGAAAGTTGATGAACCAGGGGTATGTCAAAGAAAGTCTCGTCCTTTTTCTAAAAAAGTTCATCGGAAGATACCAAGACCTTGTTGATAAATATTCCGTATCAACATCACAAATAATACACGATCGTCTTGAAGTATAGATTCTAGGTACTGACGTTGTTTATCATCTTAATAACGTGTTATATTATTCTTTTATTTGTCTTTGTAAATTATTACTTTTACTGTTTAGTCTTTTTTTTGTAATATCTATTTGACGTGGCTCGGTACTTGTACATCCCGTCATTGTGTTATTGTGCTATGGTAAATTTTTGTATTCTTCTCTTTCGTTTTTGTTAATGTGCTTTGTCAATATGCCTTTTTGTTTTTCTTTGTTGGCATATTTGCTTGATTTTGTAGTGATTCATTTGACGTGGTTCGGTACTTGTACATCCCGTCATTGTGTTGTTGTGTTATGGTAAATTTTTGTATTCTTGTCTTTCGTTTTTGCTAATGTTCTTTGTCTATATGCCTTTTTGTTTGTCTTTGTTGACATATTTGCTTGTGTTTGTAGTAATTAAGATTATAACACAATGTTGACTGCTGTACCCCTATTTTGACATTTTTACCTATTATGTCGGTTTGTTTTGTTCACACATCGTTGTCAATATAATGGAATTATATGCGACTGTCATACATACAAGTGAGAGGTTTAGCTAGCTATTAAACCAGGTTCAATCACCATTTTTTACTTAAGAAAATGTCAGTACCAAGTCAGGAATATGACAATTGTTGTCCATTCGTTTGGTCTGTTTGAGCTTTTGAATTTGCCATTTACTTAGGGACTTTCTGGTTAGAATTTTCCTCGGAGTTCGGTATTTTTGTAATTTTACTTTTCACTGACTAATATGTATTGAAATTAAACTTACTAATTATTGACTGGATTGACACACTTAATATGTTTTTCTTGGATACAATTTAATCATTTATGGATCATAAAATGAGAAGGATACATGTGGTAAAATTGTAATCAGAAAATACATGTTGTAATTAATTAATATGCAGAATCTTGAATAAAATCAAAATAAAAGTGTTGGGAATCTTCTTTTTGTCAAAATATTTATTCGAATATTTTGCACAAAATACAACCTTCGATAGATAGATAATAAGGTTATTATTGATAATAAACGAATATGAAAACGAACACGCCTTTTAGGTAACAAAATATTCGTGGTTTCAGTTAAAGTTTCTTTTCCTATATTTGTTTGTGGACTTTCGCTCTACATATATATTGTATATCCATGTGATGCAAGAGAAGGTTTTATTCATTCATTTCATGTGCATTTTCCACACAGTCTATTCATGTAATCAAATATTATCGAACTTGCATTTGTTACGGATTTTCGAAATAGTCCGTTTAAAAAAGGTATTGCTGTGTTAACAATGCTAATAGATATTATGAGATCCTGATATTAAAAAACATAGCAATTGACTTGTTATTTATTAAGTAACATTTTCGTAAATTCCTGATAACTGTTTACTTCAATGGTTTAACGATGTTTCATTGATAAAGTAAATGCTCAAGGGTCTTAATTGTTGTTATTTTCAGCCAAAAAAAGGACATTTACCATCGACAGATTTATAATTTGAAGTCTTCATGATATTTTACCCTATGTTTACATTTCAATTGCATTTCTTTAACTTTTCTAGTAAAATTCATTTGACGGAGATTCATCCAAATTGTTTTTCTGTTTTTTTTTGTTTTTTTTTTTTTTCAATTTTGTTTGACACTATTTTTATGTTTCTTTTTTGGTCATATATCTTCTTACGCATCTATGTATTTTTTTCATAAAAAAATTACGACTAAAGTTGATCGTTAGTCATGAACAATTCAGTAGTTGTAAATACTTTAACGTCACATCCGTAATGTCTATGATTTTGTTATTTGTATTTAAAACATAATAGTTTTCAGACATTTTATTTTGTTAATTTTTAAGTGCGTTGAACATGGATTTTTTTATTTGATTTGTAAATATTTTTGTGGTATCAAATATCAATATGTGTGTTCTCCGACTTCAGTAACGTTGATCTTTGGCTTGTTGATACATTTCAATATATAATATAAAGTATTTAGTATTATCGACCCATATATCACTGACAGTTTATATTTGACTTTTAGAAAATAATGATATATATATATAGGTCTGCCCTGAATCTTCATTGTTCGATATAGCCTAAGTGACCCCTTGAAACTTTGATCTCGATCGAAAAGTGCTTTTGTATTTAAATTTCAAGAAAAAAAAATCAACACATCTTCATATAAAAATTTTTTCTGCAAAGCAGCAGTAATTCATTTTTACTAAAATTTGCCCATTGCGTTCCAAAAAAGAGGCGAAAGATACCACAGGGAAATCAAAACTCAAAAGTTTAAAACAAACTGACAATGCAACACGAACCCCACCAAAAACCGGGGTGATCTCAGGCGCTTCGGAAGGGGTAAGCAGATCCTGCTCCACATGTGGCACCCGTCGTGCTGCTCATGTAAGTACAAATCCGGTGATAAGTCTTATTCGGTAGGTCACATTTGAGAAAAAAAAGGGCGGGATTGTGGTTACGACAATTGGATCATACCCGTTGTCATCAATGAAAAGTAAAATAACAAAAATACCATTATATTGACAACAGACATAATAGGTAAAAATGACAAAAATCTCTCTTTATACGCCGCATCAGATTCAATGTATCCATTCAAAAAGACTTTGAATCTATACCAATGCACAGCCAAACGGATTCCCCTCTATAGCATGGGTTTCAAGCCAGACCTTCCTCTCAGTCGACACTTGAGATCCCCTGGTCACACTAAGGCAAATCTCAATCGACTGATCATTACAATCATAGACCACAAGACTGCTTGGTCTAAGGAGGAAAGAATCACTCGGGAAAGGTTTTGGATAAGAAAATTAAAAACTTTGGCACCAAATGGAATCAATGAAAAGGTGTAGTTCTAAATATTCTAAATATCAGCACAATAATGTTAAATCTGCAAATTTGCGCAGGCAATTTTTTGTTCTTCACTCGCCACTGGTTATCAAATGGATGGATCTGTCGTAGAGTTCTCACTTGTAACACAGTACATGATGTATAGTGGCAAGTAGATGGTGTACCTTTCAGATCAGCTATTTTGTCTGTCGTAAAGGATGATAATGTTAATTACAATGCCGCCACATCAAATTCTAATTTTATTATACACGTCTAAACATGTGATAACTTTATGACAGACATTCTCCATCGGATAATACGTGGTTATACATGGCTAACACAATTAATATATTAATATATAATTCGTCTCAAATTTAGCCCAGCAATGTAAGATTTTCAAATTTGCGTTAATAAATTTTTGTTATTTCCTCAGCGGGATTCGAACCCTTGTGTCTGTGACATCGTGACAACACTGCCTGCTCGTGTCCATCGTCCTATACCACCCTTGGCTACATAGAAATATAGCACCTTGTTTTAATACTAACACATGACAGAATAATAAAGAATGGCTCATAATCAGTCTTTACTTGCAAAGGATTGTGACTATAAAAATTGCCCCTGGTTACGTAGACATGTTGTAATGTATTGTTATATTATTTATTTGTGAATGTCTCTGTCCTGAGTGTTATTGTGTTAGGTGTAATGAACTCCTGTCACGTAATGTTGTCATTTTAGCGTTATTTTTAACATTTCCATATAAGCGGGAGGTTTGGCTAGCCATAAAACCAGGTTCAACCCAACATTTTTTTCTTAAAATGTCCTGTACCAAGTCAGGAATATGGCAGTTGTTATCAAATAGTCCGTTTCTATGTGTATTGGCGTTTGTTTTTGTAGCAGTTCAGTGTTTATGTTGTTCCGTTGTTTTCATCTTATAGTTGATGTGTTTCCCTCGGTTTTGGTTTGTGACCCAGATTTGTTTTAGTTAAATCGATTTATGACTATTGAACAGCGGTATACTACTATTGCATTTATTTAGACAGGGGACATTTTCAAAATCGCGTGTGAGCCTAATTATTAGTGTGTTTTTCAGCAACTCATGCTCATAGGAGTAATTGTAGTAGACGGGTGACTTTAATATTTAAACATAAAGCCTCTTCAGAGTTTATCCATGGCTGTTATTGGGAAATTCGTGTTGCTTAAATTTTTAAATACCTTTGTAATGTATTCTGTTCTACTTTTTTGTTATTCCTTTTTTCTTCTAATGTTGTCGCTCTTTTTCTTCGGCATACGGTTTTAAATTGCTTATTTGGTAAATGTGTCTTTGTTCAGATAAAGATAGGGCAAACAATTTGAGGTAGAATCTGGGTTTTTTATGGACTGTGATGTATTGATGTGCTCGTTTTTGTTTACTTTGTTTTTCTTTGGAAGAGCAGATATTATCATTTTTATCCGAACATCATGAGGACCTCTAAAGTTTTGCTTTCAAAACCAGGTAATCTAGAGTTGAGGCGAATAAATGTTAACGAATTTATAAACAGAAACCTTGTTTTAAAGCATGATACGGTGACCCGAAATTTGGTCAAATAGAAAATATTTATCAAAATTCACGAAAACAGCATAATTGAAAAGGACTGGACGTATGAAAAAATACCGCCTTTCAAAAGCATAAATTGAATAATTACAAATATATATATTTTTTTAATTAGATTAATAATAATGCATGATTTTATTCTAGCTATTTGACCATTAAATGTTTTGTAATTTTTTTTTCTTTCAAAAAGTCACACAAAATCAAAATGCATACGATAAAAAAAAAACAATGACTACAGCAAGTATACGTATAAATATGTAGCGTTTGCATTTTGAATTAGAATAATTAGAAGATGAAAAGGGAAGAATTAAAAAATATTAATATTAGTAGAACAGATAACCTCCTGGAAAAAAAACATAAGATTTATAATTGTCAATGACACTGATATGGGAAGGATCGGATTAAAATTGACATCAGATTGATGAAGACAAGAAATGAGAATTCTATTTTTCCGCTGAGTTATAATTTATATTTGTGAAAGAAAAACATTATCAAAACTAAAGTGTCTATAACTTAATCCTTTTCACATTTATTAGTTTATCTGATAATGTTTACAAAGTTTTAGGCACCTTGAATATATGCGTAAGAAACGTCTCTTGTTTAAGAACTCTATCAAATACAATTGAAGATAGTTTAAAATAATAGTCAAAAATAAGTTTTAACAGAATTTACACATACCATGCAGATCCAGATAAGCCAGCGGTGTACATTGTAGATTCTAAAATTCCTCTTTCTTTTAGTGCAGTCATGGCGGCTGACATTCCGATTACAGCACGCAAACCACCACCAGATCCAATGATTGCAATGTTTGGGGTCTGAATTTGTAATTACATTTGTAAGTGCATAAAGACTTAGAAAATAAAGAAAATAAGACTTAAAAGTTAGGCAAAGATACCAGAGAGACATTCAAACTCATAAGCTTAAAACGTTGATTTAAAAATGCATTTGACATAAAATTGAGAAGGAAAATGGGGAATGTGTCAAAGAGACAACAATCCGACCAAAAAGCAGAAAACAGCCCAGAGCCACCAATAGGTCTTTCGCACAGCGAGAAAATCCCGCACTTGCACAATCAGCTGGCCCCTAAACAAAAATGTGTACTAGTTCAGTCAAAGTGGACGTCACACTAAGCTCCGAAACATATAAATTAACTAAAATTAAAAAAACATAAAGGACTAACAAATCCAGAAGCTCCTGACTTGGGACAGGCGCAAAAATGCGGCGGGGTTAAACATGTTTTGTTATATCTAAACCCTCCCCCTATACCTCTAACCAATGTAGAATAAACAAACACACAGCAATACGCACTGTAAAATAGTAAAACTCAATTTAAAAAAGGCCTAGTCCGATATCAGAATATGTAACAAAAGAAACTAAGCAAAATGACAATGATACATAAATTAACAAAGGACTACTAGCAGTTACTGACATGCCAGCTCCAGACCTCAATTAAACTGATTGAAAGATTATGTCTTCATCATATGAAAATCAAGCACAATCCCTCCCGTTAGGGGTATAGTATCATACAATCATAAAATATATGAGAAGAACATAACCCGTTTCATGCCAAAAACTGGTTTTAGAATAATAAATGTGTTTATTTCCGATGCAAAGACCCTATGAATGAATCAATATTAATTCCAAAATAATGTATGCCATCTTTGATGACCTGATAACAGTATGGTAACTATATCCCTTCTGACTAAGTCGGATTAAAGGTTTGGTTAGCTTTTGAGGTGAATGACGACATTTTTGTGCTTTGTATAGAATATTACATAAAAGATTGGATGTGAAATACCTGAACGTATAAGATGTCTGCATGTTGATTTATATTTACGAATGATTGCATTGTACCGATGATAAAATTTAGTAAATGTTTTGACTAGTTTGTGATATCGAAAATCCTGGTGTAATAATTTTTCAGTAATACAGAGATTTCGTTCGTGAAAATCAAATACGTTGTTACATACACGAGAGAATCGAACAAGTTGAGATATATATAAACACCATAAGATGGTGACACATTCAGTCAGAAACACAAAAGTGCTTCTTCTGTCTACTACATATCAGATATTGAGAGACCTCCAGAAAATCCGCTCAATATTGTCCAAGTAAAGATAAAAAAAAAGTGGGTAATAAATAACATACTTTCTTTAGAATTTATGTTCATTACAAATCAGAACAATATTATACAATACTCGTTTAGAAACTTGTCTCAAAGCCTTTGTTGGGGAAAATCCTCTTATCCTCGAATGAGACCTTCCGAGCTAGACTCATCGCCGGGTTTGTACTTATATGACCAACACGATGAGTGCCACGTGTGGAGCAGGATCTGCTTACTTTTTCTAGAGCACATGATATCTCCCGCTTTTTTGTATAATGTTGTTTGTCTTTTGTTCGTTTTTCGTATTTTTGCCATGTCGTTGTCAGTTTGTTTTCGACTTTTAAGTTTGAATATCCATTAAGTATTTTTGGCCTCTTTTTTACCAGGTTGTTCCTCGCTTGGAAATGTGATTAAATAGATTAAATATAACGCAATATCTTAACAAACCAGCATCATTAGGCATGTAACTCTGATGCTGAATATGTGGAATCTGAACTGATGTTTTACATTTTAATCAAACTGAAAAAAACTTAAAGTGCTACGAAAGTAGTATATAAAGTGTAAAACAAGCTGAAAACTATTTTCCATCATACTCCTCTTAATCACCAGGAAAAAAAACCCGCATGTTATTTGTCTGGAAATAATTGCGTGAATTGATATATTATTAAAAAAGGCATACGATAGAGATCTAATATTTTTATTTTTTCTTGAATTTTTTACAAAAAGTAATTGTTTATATGTTTTCTAGAAATTTGCATATGCAAACAAATGTATCTGAATGATTTTTTTTCTCAGACATTTTAACTTGCTTTATACATCATGTTTGAGGTCAAAACACAAACTTTGATTTCAAATACTTTCCCCCTAAAAAATACATCTTTCAAAAGGAATACAATATTTTCATCTCGTTATTTGCAAATTGGTCCCTTATTTGTAGGTTGATTATTTAGTTATCATACAAATATTGGTATTACAAATCATGAACTATTTACCTGCCACTACCAATATATGCAGAAACAATTCCATCATTGATTTGCGATTGCAATTCTTATATTATATTCTTGAAGTTGTACATAAAGGCAACAGTAGTATACCCTGTTCAATAGTCATAATTCGATTAAGCGAAAACAAATCCGGGTGACAAACTAAAACCGAGGGAAACACATCAACTATAAGAGGAAAACAACGGAACAACAGAAACACTGAACTACGACAAAAGCAAACCAACATAATTGTTCATGTCGATAAAATAAATGGAGATTCGTATGCTCTTAAATGATAATTTGAAATGCTGGAGATCCAATTTTCCTATTTGGCGTGAACAATATCGCTGTGTTTTCTAAGTGGAGCATCGACCTGCAGCTATTCCCACCTGATATTAAAACGATCTACGAATTACTGCAATAAATTGAAACGTTTTGATAATAGAATAATGAACAGCCTAGGTTTGATAGGATACACACATTTATTGAGATAAAGGCATTTTGTGCTTTATAGTTACCATTTTTCAAATAATAGAAAAACAAAGGATATGGGGTATCTATTCATTACACAAAATTTGTAAATGCACTGTTAAAACATAATCTCGATTGAAACCCTATCAAAAATAAAACTAATGCTAATAGTTATCAAAGGTACAAGGATTATAATTTAATACGCCAGACGCGCGTTTCGTCTACCTAAGACTCATCAGTGACGCTCAGAATAGTTATAAAGCCAAACAAGTACAAAGTTGAAGAGCATTGAGGAACCAAAATTCCAAAAAGTTGTGCCAAATTCGGCTAAGGTAATCTAGTCCTAAAATTGGAATGTTTTGAATTTCATGTCACCTTATTTAGTAAGTTTTTTTATTAAAACAATTCTGACATATATATAAATCAATATTTGAGTATTTGAAAAATGTGAACACCGATTACGAATATACATATGGATTGGCATGGAACCGAGGAAGACATCCGAGTAAACTACTTACAACGTCGTTTGAACTGAGGATAGGTCGAGATATATTCAAAACTCTCAAACATGTGGCTCAGACTCAAAAGGAAACTGTTTCTTAGATCAATAAAATCTTGAAATGCATTTCTGTCATGCTACTAGCTCTGGTTTTGGTATTTCACCATTGGCGATCGACAAGGACAGTTACAGTCCTTGGAAGCATTGTCTCATTATAACGTTCAATCCGACCCAACGTTGGATCAAAATTTGAAGACTTCGGTATCGGCATTAGGATCGACCATTTACCTTTGATTGAGACGATGTATTTTCTTTGTTGCTGGAGTGAGATACATTCGAACATCTGGATAGTGGGGCCTAAATAAAGGCAACAGTAGTATACCACTGTGAAATATAAATGTGAAAAAAACCTGCATTGCACGATCTTGAGGACTTTGACAAGTATGGAGAGGTCTTGAAAGGGATATGTACATTGTACACAATTTTGTTCTCTATGAAGCTGCTAAAACTGTAAAAAGTCACATGTGGATAAAAATCGAATCAAACATCTAAAAGCAAGACAAGTATCACAGCAGGTTACAAACCCTGTTTCTATGTTCGATCTTGACTAATAATTAGATCAATAAGGCTTGGGAAAAGTTGCGTTAAAGGCTATGAAGAATGGGGTTGGTATGGTGATTGTAGCCATACTTGGTGCAAAGAACCACAATTGGTTGATTAAAGATCGGGATTACAATAATGCCCACCGTAAGCAATTGTTCATTTGTCAATTGATTGGCCCCATCCAAGAATCCTCAAGAACCTCATTTACATGACTTAATAAAAGGCACATTACTATGTGAGACTCAAAAAGTATCATGCTCACGAACCTCAAGCTAGGGCTCTGATAGACGTTTTGCGACTCGTCTCGGTTTCATCATCAATAAATTACAAACACAGGTACGTTTTCGTTTGACATTCTGCAAAAACTTATGTGGCTTTGAGTACGATTATTAAAAATGTTAATATAAATAAGAAGATGTGGTATGAGTGCCAATGAGACAACTCTCCATCCAGGTCACAATGTATAAAAATTCAACAATTATGTCAAAGAACGGTCTTCAACACGGAGCCTTGGCTCACACCGAACAGCAATCTATGGAGGGCCCCAAAATGACTAGTGTAAAACAATTCAAACAGGAAAACCAACGCTCTAATCTATATAAAAACGAGAAACACCTATGAACCACACCAACAAACGACAACCACTGAACAACAGGCTCCTTATTTAGGACAGTTGCATAAAAATGCAGCGGGTTCAAACTTTTTAATAGGCGCCAACCTTCACCCTAACCTGAGACAGTAATGTAACATTACAACATAAAAAGACACACTATTAAATATGAATTGCAATGGCTTAACTCGATCAAAGAGACATTTAAACAATAATAAGTAAACATACATTGAACGAATAAGTTTGATCTATGACACAGAATAAATACAATATTAAAACGTACGTGCCTATATAACATAGATGTTACAGTAATAAAACATCGTACACAGGTAAGTTTAAATATAACAATTTTGTTGTTAGGAGTGCAGAAGTGAAACTTTATCGCCATACTAAATACTAATCAAAGGTGGTACATATTAAAAACAGTGAGACGAGATATAACACAAAATAAGTAAAATTAAATTACAGAATTGCATTATAAATTGTGTCAACAGGTCAAATTAACAAGAAAGTACGATTTGAGAGTACTCGCAGTTACTGAAAGC